CACACACATCCACACCCATACTCACACATACACCCACACACAGACATATACATACACACACACTGCGATGGCAAAGTAAGAAATGGAAGCGAGACCAGTGTTTATCACGACAAGTATATATTGATGTCAAGTGCAAATACAAAACGAGGTAGACAAAATCTCTGGAAAACATTAATCTCGCTTCCCTTCCCACACTTTGAGCTGCTTTTGTACAAACGATAAAAGCCCTGAGGAGACCGAATTGTCACCGATCTACATTCACGAGTTCAGAAACCGCTGTTTCTGGAGGCATCATGGTCCATGGAAATAAAGTGCTTGATAAAGTTAATAATTTATCCGTACATTTCACGTGTTAACGTTTTGGCGCTACGGTTTAGCGTGTCCATTGAAATGTGCACGCCCCGTACGTAAAAACAAAGTAACAGATATGTCTTCTTTGAGTCTTTCGGTAAAGCCACGTAGATAGAAACAATTATCAAAATAATAACAATATCACAACGCTTCGATCGCAACACAAGCAATCGTCTTGAGGTGAAAAAAGAGGGGGAAATCTGCCGAGGCAGGCTGTATATAAAGGTTTAGAGATATTGTTATTATTTTGATTATTTTTTCTATCTACGTGGCTTTACCGAAAGACCCAAAGAATATGAATTCCTGCAGTCACGAAAGCTTTAAGTAAAGATTTAACAGATATGTAGTATAAAAAATGCCGACGTATTCATAGTTCAATAAATAAATACTTTGCAACAGCGGTGACTTTTTAAATCCCCGACACAACGCAAAATAATGCCCCGCATTTCAAATAAACAGAGACAAGAACCGTAGGGAATACCTTGCACGACCTCACTGAGACCGCACTCCAGCCTCACGTTGCGCGGAACACAACTTTTGTCTTCATTTGTTATGGGACGGTTCATTTTACGGTCACCATGACAATAACGTTCCTGGGGCCAACTCTCTTGACGATTGATCTCGTAATGAACAGAATCTCCAAGCCGTAATGGGTTGGTGTCGGCTGCATGGATCTTGGCTCTTGTTTCCCAGAATGCATGCGTGATTTTAAGCGCTTTCATGCTGAGTTTTTCAAGTCGTTGTGGATTGTGAGTTTAGAGTTGCTTTAAATGTTTTCCATGTCAGCATTGGACAGGTGTGCCATAAGGCCCTGAGGTAATAATTGGAACTCTTTATTGTAGAGAATGTGGTCGTCGAGTGAGAATGTAGAGTCCAAGGTGATTCCAATGATGTTCAAGTGATTTCAGGTGCTGATGGTGGAGCTGGCGATGAGTACATTTTGGGGCACCGGCGACGCCATGGTGAGCCGCTTCCTGGTGCCTTCCTAAAATGTCTCTCAAAATTAGTTTGAATTTGAGAGGAAGCAAAGGGTGAGCCACTTGATCGTGTGGAATTCAGGCACCAACCACTATCGGTGGGGCGAGTGCCAGTTGTTACACCGGTGGTGGCTGCTGTGAGACCAGAGTGGCGGTGGCTGCTGTTGGACTGGCGTTGGAAGTGGCTTCTGGGGGACAGGCGGTGACGGCAGCTGCTGTAGTACTAACTGCGGCTTCTCCCAGACAGGCGGTGGCTGTTGTAGATTTGGCGACGATAGTGGTTTCTGCTGGACCAGCGGCAACTGCTATGAGATTGGGGGGTGGTGGCGGCTGTTGTTAGAATGGCAGCGACTGCGAGGAGACGGCTTCTTCAAAACAAGCTGTAGTGGTGGTGGCTGTTGCAGGACTGGCGGTGGCAGTAGCTGTTGTGGTGCTGATGGCAGATTCTCCAAGACTGGCGACGGATGCTGTGAGATGAGGGTGGTATTGGCTGCTGCGGGACTGGCGATGGTTGCTGCGGAACTGGCGGTGACGGTGGTTGCTGTTGGACTGGCAGTGGCTGCTAGGAGATCGGGGTGGTGGTGGCGGATGTTCTGGGACTAGGGGCGGCGGCCGCGGCTGTTGCTTGCCTGGCGTTGCCGGTAGCAGCTGCTGCTGCCGCTGTTTCTGCCGTCGCCCTTGCAGTTGCTCCAGCAGTTGTTCCCGTTGGGGTGGTTCGCCATCTTGAGTTTCTGCAGATAAACAAGATGAGGGCGCTCAAGTCCAAACCGCTCGACATTGAGTGAATGAAACAAAACTGGTCTAAAGTATTAACAAGAAGATTGCTGTACTTCACCATTCCTGTAATGTAAAATGATGCACTGTCAGGGTGTACATTCTCCCCGGGCAGTTCCACGCACGTGGGGTAACGTTTCAAAACCATCCTTTACCTTGCGTGCCGGTGAAGAGAGCTGCTGTTCAGTGACGAGGTCCTGGGTCTCCATCGCCGAGTGGGAACGTTTGATGCACAACTTAGACGTCGCCTTGACGTGCTCCAGCGGGCGGTAGCTGTCCGTTGGTTGCACATTCAATTCTGGGGACCTGAATGCCCGCACCACACATCGCAAACTGCGGTTAACACCACCACTCGCTCCACCGCTGAGCTGTCTGGCCGGACACCCATCAAGCCGCAAAGCTCCAAATTAGTCGGAACAACTCAACTGCCTAGAAAGGAGACAGTGCTGCTGATGTTCGCGTAAGACAATATCTGTGCAGTGAGCTGGTCTGGGGGACGATTGTAAGTGGAGGTCAAAGTGGAGGGGAGAGAAGGCGACTTACCGAATATAGAAGAGCATGTAGGCCTGCTCGTTCATAATATCCTTGGTGTCGACGAGCTGTACGATGGAGTCGTTCATACAGCACCATTTTCCATCGCTGATCTGTGCACAGTTAAAACACAGCTACACTTGGTTACAATGTTTACAAAACCGCACCCAACATTCTCCGTTCATGTAATAACAACATACGATACCCTCTCGGCAACAAGTTCCTCAAGAGCATCACACCAACGTCAGAGCTGCAGAGCGTGCTACGGTTGCTATGATGGTGTTGAAGTTACGGTACGGTCTGCCTGAACATATCACTGCATCGATAACCTTGGACCAATTTAATCAAAATCAAAATTTTTATTTAGACTGGAAGAATCTGATGAGCTACGATGCTCTTTTTCACAAATGTCTAGTAGGGGCGGGTCAGAAAGTTACAACAAACAATACATAAACCTATAGGAGTGAAAAGTGTAGGAAAGCTAAGCAAGTCACTAAATACAAATAAATAAAGTAAATACTGTAAGTAGAAATTGCATAAATACATCAAAACGCAAGAACAGTTGCAGGACTGTTTTATCATTATTTATTTTTATTATGTTTCTATCTCCGTGACTTTACCAGTAGCTGCTGTGGTGCTGATGGCAGCTTCTCCAAGACAAGCGGTGGCTGCTGTGGATCTGGCGATGGCAGTGGTTTCTGTTGGACTGGCTTCGGCTGCTGTCAGATGAGAGTGGTGGCGGCGGCTGCTGTGGGACTGGCGATGGCTGCTGCGGAACTGGCGGTGGCGGTGGTTGCTGTTGGACTGGCACTGGCTGCTTGGAGATCGGGGTGGTGGTGGTGGCGGATGCTCTGGGACTAGCGGCGGCGGCCACGGCTGTTGCGTGCCTGGCGTTGCCGGTAGCAGCTGCTGCTGCCGCTGTTTTTGCTGTCGCCCTTGCAGTTGTTCCCGTTGGGGTGGTTCGCCATCTTGAGTTTCTGGAGATAAACAAGATGAGGGCGCTCAAGTCCCAACCGCTCGACATTGAGTGAATGAAACAAAACTGGTCTAAAGTATTAACAAGAAGATTGCTGTACTTCACCATTCCTGTAATGTAAAATTATGCACTGTCAGGGTGTACATTCTCCCAGTTCCACGCACGTGGGGTAACATTTCAAAACCATCCTTTACCTTGCGTGCCGGTGAAGAGAGCTGCTGTTCAGTAACGAGGTCCTGGGTCTCCATCGCCGAGTGGGAACGTTTGATGCACAACTTAGACGTCGCCTTGACGTGCTCCAGCGGGCGGTAGCTCTCCGCTGGTGGCGCATTCAATTCTGGGGACCTGAATGCCCGCACCACACATCGCAAACTGCGGTTAACACCACCGCTCGCTCCACCGCTGAGCTGTCTGGCCGGACACTCATCGAGCCGCTAAGCTCCAAATTAGTCGGAACAACTCAACTGCCTAGAAAGGAGACTGCTGCTGCTCGCGCAAGACAATATCTGTGCAGTGAGCTGGTCTGGGGGATGGGTGTAAGTGGAGGTCAAAGTGGATGGGAGAGAAGGGCGACTTGCCGAATATAGAAGAGCATGTAGGCCTGCTCACTCATCGCAGCCTTGGTGTCGACGAGCCGCATGATGGAGTCGTTCATACGGCACCATTTTCCATCGCTGATCTGTGCACAGTTAAAACAAAGCTACACTTGGTTACAATGTTTACAAAACCAAACAATATGATTTCCTGCAGTCACGAAAAATTTAGTTGCAAGACTGTTTTATTTATTCCTCCCTATTAGAAATGTGTAACATTATGGGCGCATTGCAGATGTGCGTTGTTATTGTTTGATGGTAACGAATGGAATTACCTTATTGTAGCAATAATAATGGCCGCTGTTGGAGTCGGCTCCCTTGTGCACCAGCACCGAGTACAGGGAGTAGATCGCAGGCTCGCCCTGAGACGTTGAGGTGAAGGGTTGCATGTCCAGGTGCTCCGGGTAGGTGATGTTCTACAGGCAGCGCACAGGAGGGGGAGGCAGTGCACAGAGACAAATGTTAGGAGAGGAAACGGCAGGGGTGGTGGGGTGGGCAGCAGAGATGAGCACCATCTAAGTTACACGTCAAAGTGATGTCGTGATGTCTCGCTAATTTGAGCGTTGAAGACGGTGCTCATCTCCTGTTCATAGCCCTGAGCAAGTGGTGGAAATTCTACAGTCACATGACGGGGGGCGAGTCTATCTGTCGGACCTATTCCAACATGGAGAGGCATTTTCTCCAGCGTTAAACTGACAAAGGGCTGTCATTAAGTAATTTAATTCGAATGATGTGGAGGGGCAGAATCGTTACCCGGTTGATCTTGACGCCGTAGAGGTTGTACCGCTTGATGGAGACGGTGAGGACGTTGGGCAGGCGGTGGAGAGCCATCGTCTTCGTCGCTTTCCCTTTGTGACAGCACCTGCACGACAACAACAACGCCAGCCATCGCACGCGTTCCCCAACCGATGAGGGCAACTTTTAAACGACATTTCTTCTAATTTTTTTTTTACTATTATTTTAGTAATTTTTATTATTATTTATAAAATACTTTTTCGTAAAACTAATATTATGTTCTAAACTATTTATCATAATTAATATTCTTCTGTTTATATTATCGTGAGATATATATATTTAATCTGCAGACTTTTGAAGCGACAAATGTTTGCAGGGTGTCGAAACACGACGGCCCGCTCACCTTGCACAGGTGTATTCATCCAGAATCTCCTCGTTGAAAAACTCCCCAAACGCCTCCACCAGATGCGATGAGTTCTGTTGCCCAACAGAGTGAAAGGCAAATGAAGACCCTTAAGAAGCATTCCATAAACATTGTATTGTGACGGCAACTCCGAAAATCCGCATCTTGTATTAAATCGTACGACCGCAATAAACGGGATGATGCACGCTACTGGCAGTGTGTTTGGATGTTAAGTGGCTGATCGATGTGTCTGCGTGATGTATGTTGGCACAGAAGGGGGCACAGATAGTACATCAGCCAGTCATCTCATTCAGTCAATCCATGGCACCTGGGTCTGTCCCGTGACCTGCCAGCAGGCGTTCGACACTTCACATGGCCTTAAAGTGCACTCAGCCTAGCACAAGTGCCATGGTGACATCATCGCCATTTAGTGGCGAATGGCGGTTGTTGTTGATGTGTGCATGTTGAACCTCCTTCGCACCGTATGTAAATGTATAACTGTTAAGAAATGGTTTTCTCATTGCTTACATTAATATAGAGTGCGATGTCCAGGCATGTGTCGTAGGTGTTGGAGTCATTGCAGCACTGCATGCACTCCACTGCAAAGCAAACACACATTAGGGAGGGACGTCACATGTGTCTTAGTCAAACTAAATGCACGCTCCCCACTGACATAGGTAATCGCTACTTTTCACCAACTGGTAAAAGGTTATTCCGTGTGGCACGTGTGTGAGTGTAAATGCTGCAACGCGAGCAGGTCTACACTGTGATGGTGCACTTACTGTTCGCGGTTAACAAGTTTCTAGAGGAGTGCGCAAAACTTACCACGTGAACGAAGGTAACCCCCGAAGATCTGGTAAATGAGGGTGGTAGCCTCCGTGTATCTGTCCAGCCTGCCAATCACAGACAACGACACCACACGGTGGTTAAAGCAGCAGTAGCACCTTTACCGGATGCACACGCATGTGTGAGTTACACCATTGCCCGAGCTATCGATTCACTCTCTCCCTTCACTGCAACGCGTGCTCTGTAGCAACCAAACGTGGTAGCGTCTGCACAGGGCAGCCACCTTCACGGCACAGCCACAGAGCTGGGGGCAGGCTGGCAGCCATCACGCGGTGCTGTTGCCCGGCAGTTTCATTGTGCCCAGCGTGCCATGTGCTGCCCGTCAACACGAGGAATGATGTGAAGGGGCCACCGACCTCGAGAAATGTATCCCCCGGTATTTATAGGCAACGTGAAATGCGCCAACAAAAGATGGCCCACGTCAGGGCCAAGGTCAAAGAACCGTGGTGTCAGAAGGGCCGGTCCTCTGCATCTCCCAGGTGTTCACACAAAAGTGTGAGTAGCTTTTCACAGACGTTGAAGTACAATCGTGCAGAAAACCGAGAGGAAGCCGTGAGGTACCGAACTGCAGAACAACTGCCGCATGTTGACTGGCGCGCGGTACTCACTCGCTGTGGCCATAGAGGCATGAGGCTTGCATGCCATCTACCACGTATCGCAGAAACTCGTGGGCATCCTCCTGTCTCCCAATGCGCAGGTGTTTGGCGATGCCTGCAGAGAAATGGACATGGGGACAAAGTGACAGGTACAGGATCTGATGACATCCTTCAAGAGCTCCCCAACAGTCATTTCAAAAGGAGCGGTGCAAAGGATTTGGAACACAGACGGCGAAGGATCGCGGCGATAACTTAGTATTGGGACTCACGCGTGATGTTGTTAGTGATGACGCTGGGTGTCAGAACTGTCTGCGAGTTGTTGAACGTGCTGACGACGTGACACTCCATGACGCACATCAGGCAAAAGTCGCTCCGTTGGCCTGCGAACGAGGGCACAGGTGGCACAATCCGTCAGCGCACCCCACTCCCACTCAGCCCAGTTGTGGAGTAACAACAACGCGAGGAAACTTGGCACCAGCAACAATCGCAATTAATGTTGCGTCTAAGTACCAGTTGCATCACAAGATGCTTTATAAGCCCAAGTTGAATCTGTGCAGCCTATTAAACACATGTTCGCCACGTGTGCACGTGTTTATCAAAAACACAATACTGATTTATACTGGAGGAATCCGATGAGCTATGGAGCTCTTTTTTTGCAGATGTCCAATAATGGTACGGGGTGAGAAGGTTACAACAACAAACAATACAAAAACACGATAGGAGTGCAAAATATAGGCAAGGCAAACAAACCACTTAAAAACATACACAAATTAAACTATGTTTTTATTCTACCAGGTAAAGCCGACTGAGCTATTAGCTTCTTCAAAAGCGATCTGACCACGAATGATAGTTCAACGAAGTAGCTTATCAAGTGTGAAATTCACATCAGCCAAAATAACCGTGATAATCACGTAGCCGATGGGTAAACGAGAGTGCCAGGGGGGAGGGTACTTACAGGTGCTGCAGTGCTCTTGCAGCAGCAGGTAGTTGGCGAGCGGCGGCGTGTAGGCGAGGCACTGCAGCGTGGCGTTGAGGAAGCAGGTGTTCCCCAGGTTGCGCAGGCCGGCACCCGTGCCCACGTCGCTCTCCCACCGGAGGTTCAGCCGCTCCGGCGCAAACAGCGAGAGCCGTGCCGCTGGAATGCCGTCGTCGTCCTCTGCACAAAGGGCACGGTGGTGGCGAAAGCCGGCGTCATCGCAGAGCGCTGCACTGCCGATGGGGCTGGCGTGGATATCCAGTGGCCCCAGCCAGCACCCGTGCTGCTACTCTTAACCAGAAATATTTTTCTCCACATTTAAGTGTCAGGCTAAAGTTCGCGAAAAATGTGATGCGCCTGTCACGTTGACTGATAGGTGTTTTGAGCTCCTCGTGTTACTCTTGAATGGCAAAAGTTGTGGTGGCAAAGTGGCCTTGCTTTGGTGGCTACCACCCTACCAAGATTTGCACGCTCACCTTGGGGTGCAGGCAGCACAGGCACGCTGATGTTCTCTGTGGTTGGCACCGGGAAGGGGTCCAGCTGGCCATGGGGAAGGCAGCTGGGTTGGGGGCAGAGCCTCTCGTCGGCCGCCACCAGCACCTCGTTGGACGAGGTGGGGGCCAAGACCGTGAGGTCGTTACCGGACGAGGTGCCCTCTGCTCCGCACGCCACAGTCGTGGTTGGGTCCTGCCACAGCAACACAGTCAAACACATCCACAATTACTCCTCCCATCTGGACTGGGATCCCAACACACGTGGAACTGTTTTATCACCAAAATAAATCCAATTTTAGTCCATGAACCGATGGGCAATCCGCATCAAATGTCTCAGAAATATATACATACAGAATCTATTTTTCACATTATACATGGTGGCCCAATGTTAGGACAGAGGGATATTTCCTTTATCGTGCCACTGACATTACAACGTTTGAATTTTGTATTCTTGAAGTTAAAAGTATATCTATTATCATTATTACTATCTATAACAAAATACTCCTGTTATTTGTTCAAATAAACATAATAACTCCATGTGTCCTGACTTGTCGGCCAGCCTCTATAGGCGACGTTATGAAAGGGACAACAGCTATTAATGTGCTCTGCAGAAGGGCAATTGCCTGAAATGTCGCCTATCATTATTTTGTAAGACCCCCCCCCCCCCCGTGCACTCCCAGCGTTGTGATTGGCTGAGTGGCGCCAGCGGGCCCCGCCCCGCCCGCCACCCGGGGCCCCGCCCCCTCACCTGAGGCTCCGCCCCCAGACGCGGCCCCGCCGCCGCCTGCGCGGCTCCCGTCAGCTCCGGCACGGCGACCCGCGCCGCGCCTCGGGCTTCATCCGGGGAGGGGGTCCCGGGCACAGCCCCGCGGGATCCCTCGCGGGGGTCATCATCTGCAAGAAGGAGAAGCACAGCGATCACATTTCGTACTTCGGACAAACACACGGCTCTACATTTCCCACGAAAGTTTAACATGGCACTGTTCAGTAGCCCCAACCAGCAGCACCCGTGCTGCTACTCTTAACCAGAAAGATGTTGCTCCACATTAAGTTTAAATCTCAAGGTAGCGAAAAATGTGATGCGCCTGTCACGTTGACTGATAGGTGTTTTGAGCTCCTCGTGTTACTCGTGAACGGCAACAGCAGTGGCTCCAAAGCGGCCCATGCATTGGTGGCCGCCACCCTAACGAGAGGCCACGAGGTCGCGTGGTCGCACGCTCACCTTGGGGTGCAGGCAGCACAGACACGCTGATGTTTTCTCGTGCTGTGGCTGGCACCGGGGAGGGTTCCGGCAGGCCATGGGGAAGGCAGCTGGGTTGGGAGCAGAGCCTCTCGTCAGCCGCCGCCAGCACCTCGTTGGACGAGGTGGGGGCCAAGACCGTGAGGTCGTTGCCGGACGAGGTGCCCTCTGCTCCACACGCCACAGTCATGGTTGGGTCCTGCCACACAACGTAGTCAAAACATCGACAATTGCTCCTCCCATCTTGACTTGGATCCCAACACACGTGGGACTATTTTATCACCAAAAGAAATACAATTTTAGTCCACGACCCGATGGACAACCTGCATCAAATGTCTCAAATATATAAACATAATCTATTTTTAAAGGAACCCCAAACTCACTTTAACTCGCCAAATAGTCTATGAAGAAGAGGCCATTGACTAAAGACGAACGAGTTCAGTTCGTCGTTACGTATGCAAAAGAAGGCAGCTGTAAACTTTTTAAGATATTAACTTAATTTTAAAAGATAATTCGTGCATTAATCTTGAACTAAATAACAATCTGTTATTTGTTAACACAATTATAACCCGATGTGTCCTGATTTTTGGGCCAGCCTCTTATTAGCGACGTCATGAAGGAACTGTGTACGTGCTCTGAAGCAGGGCCAGTGCCTGAAACGTCATCTGTTATATATTTAATCATACAGTATACATTTCGATTTAAAGCTTTCGTGACTGCAGGGATTCATGTTTTTGGTTCTTTACATTAATTACAGATAATAATAATGTGTAATTAATGTATACTGTATGGTAAAGTCACGTAGAAGGGAAGTAATAAAATAATAAAAATAAAACAAAATAATTCTCACGACGTTTCGGCCACAACGCAAGCAGCCGTCCTCAGGTGAAGAACAGGTCTGTCGAGAAGACAGAGTCTGAATGACAACCCCAGGCTTGGAGCGTCTTTTTAAGCTGGGTTGGAGGGGGGGAAGAGCGCCTTGACAAAATAGTTTGCATATCAAGAGGAATTTAGCATATATATAAGCTGGGTTGGAGGTGGAAGAAGAGCGCCTTGACATTCCCTCCCTTTGTTAATGCTACCCCCTACCCGCTCCTTTTGATGCTGCTAATCCTGCATAATGCACGGGCATAATATGACTTTGAAACCCCCCAGCCCACCTCCTACGCATTTCCCATAAATATGCTAAATTCCTCTTGATATGCAAATTATTTTGTCAAGGCGCTCTTCCCCCCCTCCAACCCAGCTTAAAAAGACGCTCCAAGCCTGGGGTTGTCATTCAGACTCTGTCTTCTCGACAGACCTGTTCTTCACCTGAGGACGGCTGCTTGCGTTGTGGCTGAAACGTCGTGAGAAGTATTTTATTATGTTTTATTATTTTATTACTTCCCTTCTACGTGAATTTACCATACAGTATACATTAATTACACATTATTATACAGGTTGGCCCAAAAGTTAAGACACGGGGTTATTTAATTTATCTTGGCACTTACATTACAACGTTTTCATTATTTATTTTAAAAGTTAACTTTATTCTCAAAGTTTCGGTGACATGTGCCTAACGCCTGACACTCTGCATGCTGCGTGTAACACTGACTCGGCTCGGTGGAGTTCCATGCAATTCTCAAGATTTTTTTTTCTTCGAAGGCTTGGATTAAAATTGTGACTAATTATTCGTTTGTTGTGAGACGAAAAATCAATGTTCTCCCTAAATATCCCCTGTGTTTGTATTTTATCTTTGCGTTTTGACACCCTCTATTACTGAATAATAAATAAACTATTCAGTTAATTTGTGCGTGATAATAGTTTTTTTTTACTTCGAATAGAAATTGAAATAAAGGAGCAGAATCTGCTTTGAATTTGAACTCAGTGCAGTTTCACTTTGATGACTTTTGCTTGCACTTACGGTGAACATTTGTTAAAATGAGTGAACACCGACCTTTCCCCTTGCGATCAATAATCAATATTCACTTTTTTAAAATTCACATCAATTCAGAATCCAGTAAGTTATTGTAACTGAACAGGGGCGTCCACCCGTCCATGAAGGCGAATGAGGCGGCCGCCTAGGGCCCCAAGTTAAGTGGGGCGCCAAAAATTCGAGCAAAACACATTCCTGCGGAGGGAGCTGGTGGTAACGGTCAATGGCCAGGGTCAACGGCGGCGTGGTGTATTCCGCAAATATGCCCGACTGTGAGGGCAGGCACAAGCCGGTGTGAGTAGGTTAAACGTTGATACAGGTTGGAACAACAGGTTCCACACTGCCCACCAGGGATTATTTGTCTGTCGTGCATCAGAATGCAGCCCACCCATGCCCCCCCCCACCGACCGCCGAGCAAGGCCACGATTGGTTGAGGATGTCGGGGAGGGTGGGGGGAAGGTAAACACGCCCAATCATCCAACTTCCCACCCCCCCAAAACGCCGAACGGGGCGGCCACTGGTAGAGGTGGGGTGTAAACACGCCCACTCATGCAATCCCCTCCTTACAGAACACCGAGCAACGCCGCGATTGCTTGACGATGTCAGGGAGGGTGGGGGGGAAGGGTAAACATGCCCACTCATCCAACTGCCCCCCCCCCCGAACGCCGCGCTGAGTGTGTGAGTCTGAGAGTGTGAGAGTGTGTGTGTGTGTGAGTCTGAGAGTGTGTGTTTGTGTGAGTCTGAGACTGTGAAAGTAAGTGTGTGTTTGAGTCTGAGAGTGTGAGAGTGAGTTTGTGTCTGTTAGTCTGAGTGTGAGAGTGAGTGTATGTGTGTGTGAGTCTGAGAGAGTGAGAGTGAGTCTGAGAGTGTAAGGGTGAGTGTGTGTGTGAGTCTGAGAGTGTGTGTGAGTCTGAGAGTGTGAGATGTCAGTGTCTGTGTGCGTCTGAGCGTGAGTGTATGTGTGTGTGAGTCTGAGAGTGTGAGAGTGTGTGTGTGAGTCTGAGAGTGTGTGTGAGTCTGAGAGTGTGAAAGTGAGTGTATGTGTGTGTGAGTCTGAGAGTGTGAAAGTAAGTGTGTGTTTGAGTCTGAGAGTGTGAGAGTGAGTGTGTGTCTGTTAGTCTGAGTGTGAGAGTAAGTGTATGTGTGTGAGTCTGAGAGTGAATCTGAGAGTGTAAGGGTGAGTGTGTGTGAGTCTGAGAGTGTGAGAGTGAGTGTATGTGTGTGTGAGTCTTAGTTACCTAGAGTGTTATACAGGCAGGAACAACAGGTTCCACACTGCCCACCAGGGGTTATTTGTCTGTCTGTCGTGCATATCCGGAATTCTGCCCACCCATGCACCTCCCCGAGGCCTCGGCAAGGTAAGGTAACAGTTATAAAGTAAAAACGAGCCTACCTTTACCCTACCTTTTACCTTACCACAATACAATCACTCTACCCTTACATTTTACCCTTTAGCAGGTAAGGTAAAAAGTAACGAGCCTACCTTTTACCCTTACCCCATACAAATTACCCGATTACAGGGTAATTACTAGGGTACTACACATGAAAAAGGTTTATAACGGTAAATGCTAGATATCGCGCTTTATTCATATAAAGTACTCTCGATGATTCCAATTTTACACGCTTGTTCTTGTAATTGTTGTCGTTGTCGTCGTTGTCATCGCTGTCGTATCCTCAAATCTTGTAACTCAATTTTAACCCACTTCCTAATGTGGTATCGACTGCACACTTGGTATACTTATGGCATACTGATGACAATACTATATTCTATCATAAAAAAAAATTACATTATTTTTTATGTTATGTTTCGGCTTAGGTCTAATAGTCCACGCTCAACTGACGTTGGCTGTAAATCACCACGGTCCCTTACGTTATGGCAAGCTTCGGGGCCACTTCCTGGAGTCGTGGAGTTCTGTTATTACTCGTAGATTTAATGAAAGCGTGTTTAAAAAAAGTATTTTTATATTACTTATTAAATGGAGGCCATGGACTGCGCCACGGAGCTTTTATCGGTAAACAAGGTACCGTATTTACCGTTTAATACTTCGCGCTACCTTTACCCTACCGGGTAATTCTTCCGAGCTACCTTTACCCTACCCTTGACCTTACCCCTTGGCATGTTGACACCTTTACCCTTTTACACGGTAAAAAGGGTAAATTACCTTACCTTGCTGACGCCTACTCCCCACCGAACACCGAGCTACGCCGCGATTGGTTGGCGATGTCGGGGAGGGTGGGGGGGAATGGTAAACACGCCCACTCATCCAACTGCCACCCCCCCCTGAACGGCGCGCTGTCCAACCAAGTTCCTACCTGCCCACTCCGAAGGAACGTGTTAAGGGCACCACGGGGTGAGCAGCCCCTCCCCACCCAGCCCCACCCCTCCCACCTCCCACCCTCCCTACCTAGCCCCACCCTCGCCACCCAGCCCCTCCCTCCGAACCCAGCTCCTCCCTGCACGACGGACGGACAAAATAATCCCCTGTGGGCTGGTGTAACCAGGAGGTTACTACCAGTAAAAATACAAATAAAATAACGACGATGTCATTATTTCAATTCCTGTGCGCATACAGCGGGAATATGAATTACAATTCACTTCTCAACATTCCTGAGAATGTATTGGTTGGACAGACGGGCGAACGGACAGACCGAATCATTATTCCTCTGTTTAAAAAAAATCCGCTTAAAACATTAAGTTATCATCATACCTAAAATCGGGGGATAATGTTTCCCAGTTTACCAGAAACCTCAGCCTGGATCTGGCCTTGGGGTTTGGGGCGCCCATTGGGTGGTTGGCCGAGGGCGTTGCCAGTTGCTGGCAGCAGCTGCTCTAGGGCCGCTCCTCTCACTGAGTGCAAATTCATTTTGGTAAAAGCGATTTTCTGCTCACGTTTTGAGCGAAAATTGGTGAACACAACGACGCGTCCTTCCGGGTTATAAACAGCTCATTTTTTAGTATTCACATAAATAGGGAATCCAGTAAGTCAATACATAAAATAATAATGTAATAATTACCACAACAATTGCGCATTTGCAACAAACATAAATCAAGAACTGCGTGTTTACATTGTTTCATTCACTCTCACAGGTGAGAAAAAAATAAAAGTTTGCAAAACTAATTTTCGATTGATACTTTTCGTTTACTTTCTTCCCGACAGAAAGGAAACTCCAACAGCTATTAGAATGATGAAGGTGATTTACAATTTTTCATTCTTTATTTTCAGGTTTGTTATACATTACTCTCGTAGAAGATAAAATTACATTCGGTACGTCACATTCCGTAATTTTGAGTTCATTCAGATGAATCCAGAAGAGTCGCAGACGAAAGAAGACGTCGATTAAACGGAGGAAGACGGCAGAGGTGGCGTCATCGACAAAGTCACAACACAGTGGATCGTTTACGACGTGAAAATACCCGTCACGTGACGGGCAATTACGCGATGCTCCTCACCAGGACTAAAGCGGGAAGTTATTTTTCCCCAATAACATTCCTTAAATAATGATCAAATAGAGCAAGTCAAGATCTATAAGTATCTTGGGGTCATCCTTGATTCAAAACTGAATTTTGAAGATCACATTGATTATATTGGTAAAAAGACAACAATAGGTTTTCTGTATCGACACCAGCACTGCTTCCACCCTATGTTCCGTTTGGAATTGATAAAAGCTACCGTACTGCCTCTACTTGATTACTGTGACATCGTGTATAAATCAGCCCCAAATACTGCACTGAAGAAGCTTGACTCAATGTATCACTCGGCCTTAAGATTTGCACTGAACTGCCCATATAGGACTCACCACTGTGATCTCTACATTGGGTCAAACTTAACATCTCTTAATGTTCGACGGCTTGTGCACCAGATCTTTTTGATTCATAATGTACTTCCAAAAAAATCCGCAGATTATCTGCGGGATTTCCTCTCAGTTTCAAAGAACAAATTTGACCTAAGGTCTTCGCTCATTTACCAACTTCAGATTCCCTATTGCCATACAAATACTGGAGGAAGGGCCTTTTCTATTGATGCCCCCAGGGTCTGGAATGCTATTGCCAATAAACTGCAACTTGAATCACTACCTATGATATCTTCACTCAAAACTGCTCTAGAGGAGATGTACACCCCGAGCTGCCACTGCTATTTAGTGGCCTAAAATAAAATGTTTCACTCCGGACTTGCATCCCACTGGGATTTTTGCACACAGCGTTGGTGTACGGTGCTTTTTCTGCAATGTTTTGCCGTCTTTTCTTGGATTTTCTGTTTGCAAATAGTCACATAATCACTTTAAGATGTTTTCTTGTTCATGTTCTTTTGTTTGTTGTGGTTGCACCCGATTCAAGAGCCGAATGGCTCACAGGGCTATACCTAATAAATGAACTTGAACTTGATATTATTATTAATATCTATTTTTCTTCTTCATTTTCAGATGACATTGAAAAAATGGACAGGAAATTGACCAGAGACGAACGAGTTTGATTGTCATTCGTATGCAAAAGAAGGCAGCTGTGACTGCTCATTCGTACATCGTGCATCAATGTAAACAGAAGTCAGTTTTAACATTTGTTAAAACAAACAACATAATGCTTTGTTACCTGTTAAAATAAAAATGATGACACTATGTGGCATGACTTTTGGGCTACCCTCTATAGGTGACGTTATGAAGGGCCAATTGTGATGTGCTTTGCAGAAAGGCCATTGCCTGAAACGTCGCTTTTTATATCTAACCACACATGATATATTTATTACACATTATTATCGGAATCAGAATAGATATTTAGACTGGAGGAATCCGATGAGTTATAAAGCTCTTTCGTATAGGTGTCCAGTTGGGGTAGGTAAGAATGTTACAACAACGAACAATATCAACACATGATAGGAGTGCAAAATACAGGTTGGCCCAAAAGTTTCATTCATCGTGCCACTGAAATTGCAACGTTTTAATCATTTAGTCTAAAAGTTAACATTTTTTTTGTTATTATAATTAATACCATGACAAAACAATCCTCTGTGATTTGTTTAAATAAATCAATAAGATCTGTGTGTCCTAACTTGTGGGCCACTCTCTATCGGCGACGGTATGAAAGGGCAAACAACTGTGATGTGCTCTGCAGACGGACCATTGCCTGAAACGTCACCTATCATTATCCAATACCCACCCCAGTGTACTCCCAGCGTTGTGGTTGGTTTCGCGGCCCCGCCGCCGCCTGCGCGGCTCCCGTCAGCTCCGGCACGGCGACCCGCGCCGTGCCTCGGGCATCATCCGGGGAGGGGGTCCCGGGCACAGCCCCGCGGGATCCCTCGGGGGTGTCGCCATCTGCAAGAAGGAGAAGCACAGCGATTACATTTCGTACTTCTGGGTCTACATTTCCCATTATAGATAAAACATGGCCCCAGCCAGCACCCGTGGTGCCACCATTAACCAGAAAGATTTTGCTCCACATTGAAGTATGAAGCTCAAATTCGAGAATAATGTGATATGCCTGTCACGTTGGCTGCTGGGTATTTTAAGCTCCCCGTGTTACTCATGATGGGCAACAGCAGTGGCTCCAAAGTGGCCCTTCTGTTGGTGGCTGCCACCGTAACGAGAGGTCACGAGGTCGCGTGGTCGCACACTCACCTTGGGGTGCAGGCAGCACAGACACACTGATGTTATCGCGTGCTGTGGCTGGCACCAGGGATGGTTCAGGCCGGCCATGGGGAAGGCAGCTGGGTTGCATGCAGAGCATCTCGTCGGCCGCCACCAGCACCTCGTTGGACGAGGTGGGGGCCAAGACCGTGAGGTCGTTACCGGACGAGGTGCCCTCTGATCCAGCTGCCACAGTCATGGTTGGGCCCTGCCACAGCAACACAGTCAACACATCCACAATTAATCCTCCCATCCGGACTGGCATCCCAACACACGTGAGACTGAATTATCTCCAAAATGAATCAAATTAATTCCATGAACCGATAAGTGATCTGTATTAAATGTCTCTGAAATATATATAGACGATTGATTTTTAGAGGAACCCCAAACTGACAAAATATTCAAAGAAGTTGCCATTGACTAAAGACGAACGAGTTCAGTTCGTTGTTATGCATGCAAAAAAGGTAGCTGTAATTTAAAAAAGGTGCTAAATGCATTTCAAAATGGTAATGGATATCAGTTTTAACATTTGTTAAAAATAAACTCAATGACCCTTTGTGATTTGTTAAGATAAATACAATAACTTTGCGTGTCCTGACTTTTGGGCCACCCTCTATAGGCTACGTTATAAAAGGGTCTAACAACTGTTGACGTGCTCTGCACAAGGACCATTGCCCGAAACGTCGCCGATCATGATCCAATAACAATTCCCCCCACTCGTGCACTCCCAGCGTTGTGATTGGCTGAGTGGCGCCAGCGGGCCCCGCCCCGCCCGCCACCCGGGGCCCCGCCCCCTCACCTGAGGCTCCGCCCCCAGACGCGGCCCCGCCGCCGCCTGCGCGGCTCCCGTCAGCTCCGGCACGGCGACCCGCGCCGCGCCTCGGGCTTCATCCGGGGAGGGGGTCCCGGGCACAGCCCCGCGGGATCCCTCGCGGGGGTCGCCAACTGCAAGAAGAAGGAGAAGCAGAAGCACAGCGATCACATGTTACACTGCGGACAAACACACGGCTCTACATTTCCCACTGGAGACAGACATGGGCCTGTCGATCGCTTCTGAAGAACTAAATAGCTCAGTGGGCTTCACATGGTTTAATAAAAAAAATGTAACCCGTAAAAACAAAGTTTTTCACTATAAATCCTTTATATGCGTGGCATCGGTTTCATTTTATTATTCTTTTCTGTTTTTCTTGAGTAAGAGTTTCATTTTTATCACATTGGTATTTTAAATAACATATGAATTTTTATTTTTCCTAAAAAATGGAACATTTTTTTACGAAAATAAATTGTCACACACAAATGTCAGCTCGATTGGATCACGGGAAGTGGGTTAAAAAGACGACCGAAAGATTTGCACGGTCGTAAGCGCGCAAGCAAGCAAGCGCGCAAGTGAACTTAATATAAAGGATTTAAAAAGAGTGGAGCTCATTTCGTTTTCGGGATTAACTTACTTTTCTCATACTTTTCACTTGTTGTTATTGGTGTAATTTCCTGAAATCGTTTAAAAGAGCTTTATAGCTCATCGGATTTATCCACGATTAATAAAGTTCATGATTTTGAATTGGTGAGTGACGGTTGGTAACTTACGGGTGGTCCATTGCCCCCCCCCCCCATTGCCCCCCCCCCCCCCCCCGTGTGACAGTTGGTCACTTACGGGGGTCCTTTGCCCCCCCCCCCCCCGTGAGTGACGGTTGGTCGCTCAGGGGGTGTCCTTTGCCCCCCCCCCCCTTTCCCCCCCCCCCCCCGTGAGTGACGGTTGGTCACTTACGGGGGTCCTTTGCCCCCCCCCCCCCATTGCCCCTTCCCCGTGAGTGACGGTTGTCAACGCGACCGCTTCACCCCGACACGAATCACGGCCTACAACGACCACTTGGCCCAACCCCAAACCCCACACGCAGAGCGATCTTTACAAGTTGCTGCTGGTTGCTGGCCGCTCGGCGTTTCGAGCCTTTCGAGTGACTATTTATCGCGAGATTGGTTATTTAAAGCGACCAACACGCAATTAAACCATACGGGTGGTGCTGCTGCTGCTGCTGCGTGGGCAGTGGTGAACAGGTTGCACCAGAACACAACCACTCAGCACGATCCGTGTCGATAGCGACACTGCGGCCTCCACAGGTGCAGGTGCACGTGGGTCATGGCCCCACTTCAACAGCGCCATCTATTGTGTCTGTTTCCCTTCGCAGCAGTGCTGTTGACGTGCTGTCGATTTAGTTTCACGTCGTCTTCTGACCAAATATGGACGAATAAATACTTTAACGATCGTTTTACCTCATCTATATACAAAAACGGTACATTATTGAATGTGTCTGTTCGAAATGTTTAACATACTTCCCAACATGCAACAAACTTGATATTTGGCATGTGGGTAACTTCCAGACAGTACGCAATGGGAAAACATATAAAAATAGAGTTTTGTATTTGGGGGGGGGCACAATAATGATACATTTTGCACGGCCAGGGAGCGGTGACGTCACGCAGTGTGCCTAGTGACGTCACGCACCCCCCCCCCCCCCCCCCACCCTCCGTGTATTAATCCAAGACAATAATCCAAGTCCCGGGCGAAGCCGGGTAGTAAAGCTAGTACAATATTAATTCTAGATCTAGTACAATATAATTAGAGTCACGTAGGTATATATTTTAATAAATTAAATCACGACGTTTCGGGCACAACACAAGTGTCCGTCATCAGGTGGGACAACCAGAGCAAGAAACAATTGCTGAAGTCCGTGACTTTATCGAAAGAACCCAAGAGTATGGATCCCTGCAGTCACGAAAATATCAAATCTAGACTATAAATAAGCATTGAGCTTATTCTACTGTGCTGCCTGTCTCGTATGTGGTGTGCGTGTGCAGGGAAGAAATTGACATTTTTGGGGTAAAAATGTTGATAATTTCCCTTTAAAAGTCCGACGCTCACCTTGGGGAAGCTCTCGTGGCATAATCGGTCGATGGGATTCTCAGGTTGTTGAAAGTGGCGCCGCTGTTCACGTTCAAGAGAGCAGGGACGACGCAGAATCACACAAACACGTCTGCTCTTCTCGCCGTGCTGGAGTTCTGTGACCGTCACGGGCCTCACGTGACCGTCGTGTCCCTTGGCAACGACCACGATCATCAACATGGCGACATTCAAACTCGGCACGTGGTCCCTCGTCATCGTTACAACGTTGGAGACGCGAGAGGCACGTGGGGGGCACGGGGAGGGGCTCGTGGGGGGCACGAGGGGGGGGGGCTCGTGGGGGGCACGAGGGGGGGGGCTCGTGCCATCTCCCCCCCCCCCCGTGAGTGACCAACCGTCACCCCGTGAGTGACGCTGGTCAACGCGACCGCTGCTGGGTGGGCAGAGGCGGCCGGGGGCGGGAGGGAGAGTGAATACACGTGGCCCCATCGTCTTGACTGTCAGCGAGTTCCTCTGATTATTACTCTTATTACTATTATCACCGTGGTCAATAGTAGCTCTGTATCCTATAATGCTGCTCTCTGTTGTGTGTAACGGGCAAGGTTTGCAGAAGTGTGTAACTCTGTGCAGTGTGCTCAAATGTGCATTCACGTGTTCATTGGAGAAACTTCGCCCCTTGTTAATGCGTCAGTGTTTATGTCTCCTAGAAGATTGGATGTTTTCTGAGAATCAAGCAGCACTCGAGAATTTGATTGTGACATTTTATTTTAAACCACTGTTTACTTCAACGGCTTCAATATAATTTAATTATCATCATGATGATGATTAAAATATAAAAGCCTTCATACCTGTAATGCGGGCGTAAATGGGCGGGGCGGATATGACGATCCGAGAGGGAGGAGTCAGGGTGACGTGGGGGAGAAGTTATAGCGGGGAGACAGGAAGCTATCTGGGTCAGTCGGGGGGAGTGAAGGGTGGTGAACACGTTGGGTGGTCGCCGTGCCTCAGCCTGGTGGCTGAGGGGCTCATGACGGCGCCAGCCAGCGGGGTGGAAGAGAGAGTGGAGGAATGAGGTAGGAAATGGCGAGATAGCCATAGAGGCCACGAAGGGCTGACATTGGGAGGTGGCGAGATCGCCACGCACGGAGGAACAGGGAGCAGCGATGGAGCTGCTGGGGGAGCAGCCAGAGGGCTGTACCAAGAGCCTGCAGCGGAGCTGCAGGAGCGTGGAAGGCTACGGGAGCGAAGGCAGATGTGGGGCTGCCAGGGAGAGAGTCTCAGGAGGAGTGCCGTGTGGGAAGGAGAACGCGAACCCCAAATAAAGGACACGGAGTCAGCAAGAAGTGTCTGAGTCCTTTTATTACACTGGAGTCAGAAGTGAAACGGCATCTCAAAACAACTGAGAGAAAGAAGAAAAAAAAATATTCCTGCTACATCATCCGACGACGACGACCTTCCTCAGACAGTGGACCTGCCTGCGATGGAAGAGGAGATCCGTTCTGGAACGAGTACGGGTCCGGGTGAGCAAGGTGTCGCCGCGTCGGTGGACCTGTCTGTGCCGAAGGATGCCAACTTACGATGGAGACAGATGGTGATGCAGATGGGGACCTTGAAAATCGTGCTGGCGCGACTGTGTGAGTTCACCACGCCGAGGACGACGTCGGGGAGGCCCGGTGGTGATCCGCAGGCCTCTGCCTTTCCTGCGCTGCCAGCGCCATTGCCACGTGGCACGAAGACGCCATCTTGGGCGTGGCAGGGGAGAAACGGCGGGAAGCCGCCATCTTGTCTTCACCGCGGCGGGAGGACGCCGCCATCTTCAACATCGCGGCGGAGAGGCAGCCTTGCGCTGCCATCTGGAGGTGCCGCGGGGTGAGAGCCTGCTGTGAGCTGCTGTTTTTCGAGGGGGTGCTGCGAGGAGAAGACGCCGATGCTGCAGCTGCTGGGGCGGGAGCTTCCCGTCCTGGCTCGGGTGCGTGACAACGGAGCCGTCAAGTCGCCGAACGAGTTCTGCGAGGCGTCTCAAGTTGCCACCCTGCCGTCCTCTTCTTGCTGCAGCCCCGGGCGAGTCATAACGATACGCACCCGGCCTTAACACACACCTCACTCATCTTTCGAGGGCCGGGGGGCTATTTTGGTTTTCTCTTATGACTCGATTGTGCGGAGCGCGGTTCGGACTGTGTGTATGTGTGTGTAATAGCGATGAACGCGCTATCTGCTTGTTAATGGTGTCAATGTAAGTGTGTGCGTGTGTTGAGAATGGACGGAGAGTCTGCTGTATTTGCTGAGTGTCAAATTGTGTGTGTGCGCTGCTGCGTGGAGTTGTTATCTTGATGGTGAAGTTAATTATTAACTTGGGAGCGTCGGGTATCTTGCGCTGTATTATTTGTGGGTTACCTTGTGTGATGGGCTTAATTGGAAAAAAATATATATTTTTTTTTTGGTGTATTGTGCTGCGAGGTGCTGTGTGCGATGCGATTGTTGCAAGAGAGAGAATAATTGTGTTGTTGCTGCAAAGTTACGACAGGATTAATGGTGTGTTGGTTGCCTGCAGATCTGCTTGCTATTGTGCTTAAATGTACGCGTGTGATCGCGATATGCTGATTGCATGTGCTGTTATACCGTTCTGTATGGTTATGGGGTGCGATGCAGTGGTTGACTATTGGAATTGAGATTGTTATTATATTGTGCGTACTTGTTGGAAATTGGTAACAAATTGGAGGGGGACCCAAAAATTTGGTTGTATTGGTGTTGTGCACACGAGATTTCGTGTATATTATGGGTAATTGCGCTTTTTGAGAGAGAGAGCGCGCTTTAAGGGTGCGTGATGACGCCGTTGTGGGTGTCTCAAAGGTTAATGCTAATGGGACCGTAAATTGGCGCCAAGTGGCGTCGCGTATTCGGTTGATCGCATGCAGCCACGAGTTGCTTGGCGAGTTGGGTTGTGTAACTGATGTGGTTGGTAAAATATTGGTTAAAAATTCCACGATATGACAGCTGTGCGCAGCAAGCTGGGGCTGTGCGTCTATCGTTGGTGGGGTTGTTATAACGTGACGGGGGATGCGTCTTGTGACCCCCAGCTAAGGGAAGCTGGGGTGCACGAATGGAGAAAACTGGCCACGTGTTCGCACGTTGGGCCGCCATTTTGCGCGCACGCGGGGTATGGCGACGATGCGCTTTACGGAAAGGGCCGCCATTTTGAGTGCGCGCGAGAGATTGCGCGAACGCGCTGGGCGAAGGGGGACGCCATTTTTGAGCGCGCGGGAAAAACCGGGGTGGGGCAAATATTCCATCTGTTATGCCTGCCATTGTTGATTGGGTGATGCACGAGTTGTGGTCACATCGGGCTATGGCTGAGGCTGACCTGACAGCCCGGAGGCGAAACCTCTGTGGTATGTCTTAAACTAATGGGCCATGTGCTCATATGGCTCGGGGAGTCATGGTTCAGTTGTGCGGTGGCAGACTGAACCTGGTGTGCCGGGGGCTCACGGGATCTGGGTTAGGGTGTTATTGTCTCTATAAGAGAACATTGCCCCGTGGGGGGAGTACAGGGGGTCTGGCATTGCTGGGGGATGAACCTTCCCTGGGCTATAAAGCATCGGACTATACGAGGCTGGTGTGTGTCCATCTCTGATGGGATAGTAAGGGAGGAGCGTGGCCGAGTTGCTGCTCATCCCCGAAATTGCACTAG